CTGCAAGTGTTGGTTTTAGCCATAGCATTTATATAGAAAATTACTTTTTGTATATAGCAGCTCCATGTAGCTACTAACTTTTAAACTACCAATAAAGATACGAGCAAGGCCTCACCTTAATACCAAAAAAAAAAAAAAAAAAAAAACCAAATTTATATAGTATTATTCTATTGAGTAATAAAATATTTGTCAATATTTGTTTGTTTAAGGCTAGATCAGTAAAAACTTTCTGCCTTTTTAATAATTTGTTATAACAAATAAATATCATCTTCTGTAGCAAATTGTAATTGCTCAAGATACTTTTTTACAACTTCTAATGCCATTTTCTTCTCATTATATAGAATCCATTCATCTTTAACTTCCTTCTCCTCCTCTTTCTCATCATTATCTGAATCTTTATTGTCGACCAAACCTTGCTTTTTGAGAATATCTCTAACAACAGATTCTTTGGTTGGTGTATCCATTATTTGTAATTTATTATCTATATTTACATATTCCTCTGCTAACAATTTAATACAATCATATGACATTTCTAGTTCTTCTAATACATCTTCAAGCTCATCCATATCATTATTACCTATTTTATTAGTTAAATCCATTTCTAATAGAAGTATTTTCATTTTATTTCAACAATTAATGATTATTGTAAGTGATACTTGTTTTCATATATTAGAAATTAAATAAATGGCTTCCTTAACATTAATTAGCTCAAAAGACTTTCCATTTTCTATATTATTTATCCATTTTGTTACCAATAATTTACAATAATTAGCTTTAAAATTTTTAATAATCCTGACATCATATGGTTGAATAACTGATGTAGTATGTGGTAGCAAAAATTCGAACTTAATATTTCACAACTTGGAACTTGAGTGTGCAGCACAATTATCAGCTAAAAGAATAGTTGGCTGATTGACTTGACTATCTAACCATTTCAACCAATTTTCTTATTTTGTTTCAGTCATCTATGCAGTTTAATTGTTAGAATAATGTATGGATAATTTAGATATATTAGTAGTTTTCATACATTGTGAATGTATATTTTTACCTATTACAAATGGTTTAAATTTTCATGTTTCTAATACATTGCAGCAAAAAAGTATAGTAAGTCATTGCTTGTTTTTTTTAAATCCTTTAGCAGCATCACTTTTAGATGCAAGTGTTTTGTCTGGCCTAAGACAAAAATAGAAACCCATCTCATCTGCATTAAGAATATTGTCAGAATAATTATTCTTGAGTAATTCTTGAAAATGATGTTGTCCACTTTTGATTGCAACCTTATTAGCTGATTCACTTTCTTCAGATATGGTCTTTGAACTAATACCAAATCATCACTGAAATCCAAACACCCAACTGTTAGATGCCTCAAATATAGAGAGAAATTTTATATCACCATCTTTAAGCTGTTTATATATAGAAAGTGCTTTGGTTTTGAGTATGTTCTGAGAAACAGGAATATTTTGAGAACTAAAATTTAAAAACAACTTATATACAGCCTCATCAATAATATGAAACTGTCTTTTTTATATGCAAACATGTTATTGCACATAAGAAGATGTAGTATTGTATAACTGAAGATATTTATCTTTATCTCGTAAAATGTTGCTTACTGTGGACCTATCAATACTATATTGTTTTGCTAAATTATGATGGCTTAGTTTTGCATTTTTTTCCTTCTTTTTAATAATCTTAACTTTCTTTTCTAAAGTAATTGCAGATCTTTCTTTTCACTTTTTACTAGCACTAGACTTAGTGGCAGACATCTTGCAATAGATTAAGATAAGCAATACTAATGAATAGTTTTAAAACCCAATTATGTTTAATATAAAAGAGTTCTGATTTTTATATATATTATATAATTATGAATATCTATTTGCCATTCAATAATTAATATAAATTAGGAATATTATGATTTACTATTTAAGAATAGGTAAGATTTTTTAATGAAGAATATGCTATATATTAATTTTTTGGTTGCTTTATTTATTATTATTATATATATTATTCCAATTTAATATAAGCCTTTAAGCATTTATTCTTAGATTTCGTATTGCTAGCAATTTCAAAATTTATCTTTTTATATATGTTTATAATTGCCTTATCTAAATTTGTATAATGCATTAATGCATAAAACCAAGGTTTGATTTTTTTTTTGTCATACAGACATCAGACATAATATTGATAATTGTATAACTTGTTGAAAGCAATATATTATATTGCTTAAAATTGTAACCAAAAGGTAGCATGATGTTACTGATAAGATTTGAATTGAAAATCAGAACTTATACTATAAATTTGTAAAGATAAGATCTTATAGTTAATAGTAAGAAATGAAAACTAATTGTTAATAAATAAACATTTTCTACTTACAATTCAATACAGTTTTGCATGCACTTTTTGATTCTTTGATGACTACACAGTACTGGTAGGCTTCTCTATACTTTTTATTTAGAAACATTATTTGCTGTTGCACCTTATACTAATGACAACTTCTCTTTACACCACAACTATAGTCTACACTTTACTTCTTTTTTTATTTAATTTTTAATTTGTTGAAAAAGCAATCTACTAATCATCTATTCTATTTATATATTGCTTACATACTTGATTTAACATTAAACTATAATTACATATTTAATGCATTGGTATTAATCAGATAATATAATTATGCCAAGCTACAATAGACTCTATGCATATATTATAAACAATAAAGTTTATTAATCTAACTGATATATACATAATTCAATTAATTATATGATCACATTCTCTTACACTTTATTTTCTTGAATTGTGAAAAGTTATTTTTGATTTTAAGCATTACTTTTTTCAACTTTACTGTTTAATTATCTATTTAAGTTCTATTGGCCCAATTAGATCTTTTCATAATTACAAAAAATAAGACTATTTAAAATTGTCTATATTTATATATTATTGCATCACTTTTTTTAAACAGTGCTAACTATTTTCTATATTCTTTTTTTAGCTTTCTCTTATTCAGATTATTCTGTTTTAGAAACATTAGATTTCACATATAAGTTATACTATTTATAACTTTTACAGCTTTATTTTACTAATTTTATTTATTAAATCAAGCTTCAAACTCCCTATTATCGAAGCCTTGCCACTTATTGTACTTCCTTTCCTATTTTTTTGGATAGATATATTTGGTCATATATACATATATATATATGTTATGGAAAGTAAATTGTTATTGTATCCAGTTGTTGTTGCAGGCTTAAGGTAGTGCAGTCCTAGTAATCCTTGGGATCATGAAAATTACAAAAATTATAAAAAATATAAGAAATTTTTGTGTATCTAAATAATAGTTATAATTTGTAACAAAATCTGATTTTCATAATATTGAATAGATAATAGTAATTTAAAAATAAAATAAAGAAATAAAAAATTTGTTAATATATTAAAAAATTATTGTTATTCATATAATTATAATATATGAAAAATTATGTATAAAGGTAACAACATTTTTTCTTAGATAAAAAACAACTCTTGGTATCAAAGCTTCAAAATTAATATAGCAAAAGTATCTTAGCAGTGTTCAAATCCCTTTTTGCCAAACATATCGGTCATAGTATTCATATATTCATATTTTCTTGTTTCTGTAATTTTTATTAACCCAAAATCATTAGTTAGTAAAAGATAAAAAGAAAGATCATATTAATAATCAAGATCATTTTTATATAAACAAATAGTGATTGTCTTTGTGATCAAATCCATTGTTACCAAATATTACATAATCTTATTTCAGCATCTCTAAGTGTTAAAATAAGTTATGTGATTCAAATAAGCTGTGGACAAGTTCAATGATCGTCATAATTGTAAAAAAAATTTTTTTAACTTTTTTATATATATTAAAGTACTTTTTACTCCTGTGATTTTTTGATTAAAAAAGAAGTAATGAAAAGAACTTTCAAATACCTATATTCTATTAAAATTAATCAAAAATAATCACAGTATTTAAAATGTTTTATTAAAGATAATGTTTATAGGAGATCTAAGGTAGTTAAATTTGTAATTCAAGTACACAAAGACATTTCAGTATTAAAATAAAGAAAGAGTGACATGTAACTAAGCCCTGGTACTTTATGAAAGATGCACAAATGGTCTCAAATAATGTTTATGCAAAAAATTGAGTAAAAGATTGAGTTAACTATATTTTATATTCGTTAAAATATAGAAAATTATATAATAACAAATTATCATTTTTAGTTTACTAAACTTTAACTATTGTCATTCTAAGATACGATATAAAAATGATTTAAAATAATATACCTTATTAGTTAGATTAAGTAGAGATAAAAAATTTGTAGAGAAAATCAAAATTTTAATTAAATAAATATAAGCCAAATTGGAGTTTAGGTTATTATTGATATTTCATGAACCCATGGTTGAAATTCAGCAATTTTTATAACATTTAATTCATCTCAATGAGATGAATCGATCGATATAAAAATTATTAAATTCAAGTCATTAGATTGTGAGATATCTTCGATTTAGTAAAATAAAATTTTAAAGATCATTATCGATTATAATAAGAAAAGATGTCACTGACATTTACAATTGTATCTAGAACAATAAAACATAAGTAAAGTAAACTAAGCAACTATAACAATGCTAAATGGTATAGTAAAATAGATCTCTGCAATTGAATTGTTATGTTAAATAAATTTGCAAATAGTAAATTTAACCATATGTAAGAATTGCAACTAAAAAATTAGTTAGAATAATTCGCAATTATGAGAATTACATAATTTAAGATATACAAAAATCGGTTTATTCAATCTATACTATATGTTAAATAGTCAGAAATTATTTATAATTATTAATTTCTGTTTGATCCAATGTTATTATTTATATTATATTATCTAGAATATAAGTTAAGCAGGCTAATTACTATTTGTATTATAAAGCTACTAGGAATAGAGATATTATTCAAATATAATATAAGTGAGATATAAATTAGGTAAAATAAATGTAGAAAATTTATTCTATCAAAAAGTGGTGATATAATTCGAGTTGGGATTTAACCCAGTGAAGATATAACTCAGGTATGACTGTATACAAATTTATGTTTCAAGTCTTGGTATGATTTAGAAATTTTTAGTTAACATTAATAACTATATATAAATACACTTGTTTTTTATACAAGAATTTTTTTTCATACAAGTTATTTTATTTCTAGTTTTATACTATATAACTATATAGACTAGATATACATATTAAAAAGATTTGCTTTTTATTATTTATTATTTCTTTTTTATATAAAACATTTTTATATTGTAATAGCATATAATACAATATAGTTATAATAAATAATGCTTCAAATCTAAATACATATATATATGGTATCATGAACTACTAGTTTAAATGACATTATGAACTACTAGTTTGAATGACATTATGAACTACTAAACTAGCTAGTTTGGACTTGAACTTATTTGTTTTGAACTAAAACTAGACCAGACAATTTTATTTTGATTATATGATCTTTATGTTGTACACGAATGATTTAACATCTCTATTTGGGAGGCTGAAAATGTACTGGCAATTCGGCTTACAGTGTAAGGGATAGTCGTCTTTATACTTATGGGTATGACCATCTTATGAGTCATCTCTATACTTATAAGTATAAATATGGTTATTAAATATACGTATAACCTTTATTTTTCATACTATACTACTTTAGATAGACTAGTGATATTTCGGATTTTGGGTTATACGTATAGTACCTATTGTATATTAGAAATATATATATATATGTTGTAAATGGAAACGGAATTTAAGTGAATTCGGAATCCTATATAAAACCTGCATTTTGGGGTTGATTTTATCATACATACACCCTAACCCTAACCCAATTTAACTAGGAAATTCTTAAATTTCATTCCCACTTACGACATATATACGTCGTTTTGCAATCAGTGTAGATTAAGAAATTATTACAATGCAATTAAAACTTATGTGCTAAACACAGTTTGATTATTTGCCACTCCGCCTTTTATTAAAATCTACGTTTTTTAAAAAATGTACGAGTTAGCCATTTTCGAATAGTATGGTTTCTCATTATTAGACATTACAAATTAACTGCTCTTCTTAAATAGAATTAGACTTTCATGAATATTATTGACTAAACGTTCTTAAATACTTATTGTGAGTTGGAATTTCTTATATAGTTCAATTTGGCACATAATATTTTTTGTTTGAAACCCGTTTACAAAGGAACTAATCTTTTAATATATTTATCGTGCTTTTAAAATCGACAATCACACAAAAAATCCAAATTTCTTTATTTTTAAAAAATGGTAAATTTTTTGTCAACTTCAGATTTTCTAGAGTAGCACCATTGTCTGGTCAAGCAACACTAAAATTTTAACAAATTTTAAACGAATATTATCTTGATAATGTTTGTTCGATTTCGATCTTCGAAACTATTTTCAAATTCTATGGATAAATAGAATTCGGAAATGGTCTTAAACGTTGAAATTGGTAATTAATCGAAGTTTAAAAAACATTCAATATTAGAAATTTATGCATAATATACACTATATAATTAGATATTATGATTTTTAGTCAATCAATTTATTACATTTATTAGGCGATGCATTATTATAAATGATAATACCAATTCTTTACTCAAATTCTTTATCTAAATTGCCGTAATTATTAATATGCATTATAATACTCATGATGGTATTGAAAGAATAAAAAAAATTTCATGATATTGCACCTACCTTATGGATATCAA